TTCGCGAAGGTATCTCACGGATATAGGGAATTCGGCCTACAAAGTTGCATTCTCTCGCACAATAGCATTGATAGACGGAAGAAATGTGACCTTTGCAAAACTCCGCGACGAAAGTGTAGAACGAGCGAAAACTCTGCGTGCGCCTATTCAGGTATAATCAGCGAGCATTAAGTTTGACGCGAGCCATATAACATTTCACGTTAAATGTGCACAGACGGTGTTAAAATTTCAAAGAAGCGTAGTCATGCTTCCACCAATTAAGGCCCTTTTACGACTCTCGTGTAAGGTCGATCGTGAGCAGCTCACTGTGACAACACTGTGAAAGCTTATTGTTTCATAACAACAGTTTCACAATAGTTGGTTTAACTTCAACTGTTACTAATAGGCAGGTCGTTATGCTGATTTAAGACGCAGCATACCTCCGGAAGCAACGGATTGAAATATATTATTTAAAATAGGACACCCTGTATATGTATATATATATATATATATATATATAATTCTATAAATAAATTTTGAAGTGCTATATATATATATATATATATATATATATATATATATTGTGTGTGCGCACACTGAGGAAAAAGCACTTCAAAATTTATTTGTAGAATATAAAGTTTATCCTTATTTCCATGAAAAAAAAATTTTACACATCACAAATAAATCTTGAAGTACTTTTTTTTAATCCATGTAATGATTATTCATAATGTGCCGCATTGTTGCGTCGAAGAAGAAAACGGACGATTGAAATGAATTAATGAAAATTGCTCAGCGCATAATTACTTGTGTGTACCTGAGTGTAGGACTAATGCTTGAGAAAGTGATTGTTGAATTTTTCCGAAAAATTCGAGGAGACAAAAATTGTAGCCGAAGGGATTAAATCCCGAATGTTTTAAGTAAATTACTCCGTTCACCGGTGCGGATCTGAGTTCGATACGCGCGCATACTTTCATACTGATGCATAGAAAACAATTCGAAAAACGGGCTGTCTGGTCTCCCTCGAGCTGCCGCTCGGCTTCCCTCGAGTGAGAGACACTGGGATATACATTCATGAGTCACTCCATTCACGAAATGTGAATTCTCGCTTTGCAAACTTTAGGGGTCAACGGGTCGAGGATGGTTTAGCTACTTCTGGCGCAGGTCGTGGACACACTCCCTCCCTCTCCTTTCCTAGTCAGTCTCTTTCTCGTAATATACACGTACATACACGTGTATCGATACATCGTCGGACAATGACCGTTTCCGGTGATAGCGAGTGGTATTAATCTCAGTGTTATTGGGGAGAGGTCAAAGTTTCGCAGGATTTCCTATCAACTCGAAAGAGCGAGACCGAAAGAGAAAGCGAGAGATGATTTCGTAGAAGAGGGAGGATCGAGGTTTATCACGGCAGATCTTTCACGGTTGCAAAGACGATGGGGCGGTGGGGGTAATCGCCGTTCAGTCGTAGTGGTGGAGCACGGGGAGAGTAAAGGGTAGTGAGTGAGGCGGGGGGAGGGTGGCGGAAGCGGCAGAGAGAGAAGTAAGAGTAGCAGGAGGTATCATTCACTTTGCGGGAGTCTCTCCTTCGCCGCCGTAATAATTTACTTTTTTATGAATGAACTTAACTCTTTCTATCTCGACCTTTCTCTCTTTCTCCCTTTCCATCTCTTCCTTTCTGGAACTACAGTTGTTCCTTTATCGCTAAATTAACAGTCGAATGGGACGACAGTCGGTAAAATATGACTGAAAGGGAACGAGAATCATTAGGCATATTTCTATTCTTTTCTTTCGTGTACGTGTCCGTTCGGATTTTCTTCAATGCCCGAAATCAACAAAACAAGCCCTCAGCTGACATCGCTATGTCAGAGCTGCTCAACGAGCATAGCGGCCCACTTGCGACTGATTAAGAATGATCGTTGCGCTGGTCGATTGTTAATTGTCGATTATCGGTCGTTTAAGAACAAACATTTCCTCTTTCTCGCTTTCTCTCTCTCTCTCTCTCTCTTCGGAACTAAGGTCAGTCGAGCACTAGAGAAAATCAAGAAAGATAAAACAAGAAAGACAAGAAAATAACACTGACATTCCAGTGAAATATAGACTTTTCTTTTCCAAGAAAAAAAAAAGGACGACAGATACCTAAAGGGACCTTCGTATTATTTTGTGCACCTCCCTATTTCAAAACATATTTAATGACCGCAAAAAAACCATTTAACGGAAAAAACTTCCTCAATAACATTTCCCGACTGGCAATGAATTCACCGGCCGTTTATTACTCACAAGGCGACGGACTCTCACGTTTTCGGCCAATGGAATACATACAACGCGCGGTGACGCGCGCGAGCCGTTTATCGATATTATCGCGCGGTCAACGGCGGCCGCCTCGAAGGAACGACCGTTAACTCGGGCGTGTGTGCAGGCAACCGTGCGTCTAAACGCGTACATTTCGCGGCATACGCACACGTGCGCATAGAGTTCCTCATTCGGCACGCACGTATTATAGACACGTATAAGCACACACGCATCGCGTGTATATCCTTCCGCAAACGAGCAAACAGACCAGCCGGCCTGCCGACTTGTCTCAGATCCGTTCGCCGAAGGAAGCAGGTGAAAATTAATTGTACAGGTTACCGGCTTCTCTTTCGCTCGCGACGACGACGACGACGACGACGGGAATGGCGGAGGCGGTGTGCAAAGTGCGCGCCTCTCCTATACAGGACGATCGATTTTCCTCCCGGCGTCGTCGTCGCCTTTCCATCCTCTCCCGCCCCTATCTGTTCGCCCCCTTGCTTGTCACCTCACCCTTCCTCATTTTCTCTCGCCCGCGAAGCGGAGCGTGTCCTCCCGCGCATAACAGCACGCGCGTTTTAATCGCGCGGATCGAACTCTCTCGTTCAGGAAATCATATTTTCCTTCTCTCTGTATGTGTACACATTACGGCGTAATAAGCGCCGCTATATTTCACCAAGAGGTCGCATTCAGCAGACACAAGTTCAAATTAGCGTAGTCGCGAGGTGACACACAGTATCTTTGGACGTCGCGCGGCTTCATACATCGTGTTGACACGATATCTTTCTTTGCACTTTTATTATTCTATTGAATGTTTCAATGAGTTCGCGGCTTTTCTCACAAACAAATGGAGAAATATTTTCTATCTTTCTTTGTGTCTCTAAGCAACGTAGATTCTTATGCGAGCAGATATATATACAGAGCTTGGGACATTTTTTTCAACTAACATTGACCTGATTCAATGGACGATTGTTCGTATTTTTCCACGTGATCGTCGTCGTCCTCGTCTTAAGCCATTACATCATAATGCAAGCGAACGATATTATATTAATCACGTATGTCATATTCGTCCGACATACGTGATCGAAATAATTGCCAACTTTCGTCTACATTTGCTATATCATATGGAACCGGCTTTACGCTTTCACGCAAAATTCCAGCCGAGAAAAATTCTAAAAACCCTAAACGTACGCGATAATTATCGAGGATATCTCTCTCTCTCTCTCTCTCTCTTTTTCCCTCTTCTTCCCACCTTTTCTCCGCCGAGTCGTGGTGAAAAACGAGTCAGCTTGACGTGACGAAATGTGGCCGATCTTAGTGTGCACGCTTAGGTACCTGTACCTATACCTGCTCGGTCAAGATTGATCCTTCCTTTTTCTAATAGTGTGTTAAACACACCTCTGTCGAAATATTCTCCCATGATTTCAATGATTTTTATTTGAAATATTCGTCCTCATAAAACCATGTTAAAAATCATTTAAGTGTATCTCAACACACAACATTGTCCGTCTAGATGGGCAGTGAAAATTAATATCCGCTCGCACACACCTTGTGAACTTGTGTCTCTTTTACTGGTAAGGTTGACAGAATGGAGATCTTTGCTGCCAGTCATAGTGGACAAAATCCCGTGATATGAAAGTTAGACGTGCGTTTTTTCGAATCATCTCGTTTCTAGCGAGCCTTTTGCAATGAAATGTAATGTCTGACAAAAGTCGCAATAACGCTTTCAAATTTTCGTCTAACAGTTGTAATGAAAATGCTTTTTCACTCGAAATTGCACGTTGCAATTTAGCGCAAGAAGGCTTATTATTGTATCGAGTGGAGATTGATTGTAGGGAGCTCTCATTGTGAATCGTTAAAATTTCACTTTTTAATATGAGAGCGACACGTTTGATCATCGTGATATACGCGGGCGATGATGATCATCGCGTCCCTACAGCCCTACAGGAATCTGATGACGGGAATTTTCCTTGCTTCTCCCACATTCAGATCGGAAAGTTTCCAAGATGGATAATAAAATGTACAGGTTTGGAATATTTAGCGACTGACCGCACGTAAACAACCCAAATCATTTTGTCAGTCCACTTTATACAGTTCGAAAGATCCATCACACGGTGTGTGATGACAAAGAAAAAATTTTTTCTATAATTTCATTTCTATCCTAATAGATCCCAACTTTCCGTCACAAATATCTCTCTCTCCCTTTGTTCTGAAAATCACCGGATAACGATATACCTGGCAGCAGCGCTGATAAAGCAGATCGAAGAAGGAGAAAATATTCGGCTCAGCGAAGGGCCACGGCGACGCGGCAACAGTGGTGGTGTAACGGCAGCGGCGTCGTCATCAGCGTCGACGACGCGACGACGGTTGCCGCGAGGGACGGTGCTCGCGAGGGACGGGATATTCGCGACGGACAGCTCGAAGCTCGGGAGGGTCATGTGACCGTGCGACGAGAAGGGCCTTGCGAGGGAGGAGGGGTGTCTGGCGAGTCGAGCGATAGAAAGACGAGAGGGAGAGAGAGAGAGAGAGAGAGAAGGGTATATAGTTCCGCCGCTGGACGGCCAACCGCGCGAAGGAGAGCGGTTGGAGCGGAGAGGGGAACGCCAGCGCTGAAGGCGTACATCGCAGCGCGGGTGGGGCGAAGCTGCCGCACGGGGAAAGAGACGCGGGAAGAGGGGGAACAGACCGCTATACTGTGAGCTTGAGCGTAGTTTCGCGGCAGTAGAGCGCGGCGACTCGTGGGATGAGCAACTTTGACTCGAGAGTTAACAGTGGTTTCGTAGTAGTACGACGGTGTCAACTCACCGGGAAAGCAGGTGGTCTTTCTGAAACAATTTGGCCCTTTGTGACCGCTGGGTGTATCAGACCGAACGCCCGAAGTCGAGACAGCGTCGCGGTAAGACGGGGGGAGTGATCTTCCGAAATTCTGCTGCTCGCCAGAAAAAGGTCCGCAGGAACACACTCGCGTGAGAGTAACACCCACGAACGGAAGAGACGACCGACGAGAGAGAGAGAGAGGCAGGCGAGCATACTGCTGCTGCTCGGTGGTAACGTGATCATCGTGTTTATAGTGCTTAGACACTTGTGCCGATACGCAACAGTGCGCCCGAATTTGAGTTTTGTGCCGGCGGATTATCCGGCTGAACTTGGACAACGAGAGGACTGCGAGGATCGTGAGAACTTTGCGGCTGATGTTAGCCAACTTGCCCGTGAGTACTCCATATACTTGGAAAAAAATAGATCACACTTTTATCGCGACTTTTTTTTTCCGTCTATCATATCTCTCCCCGCATCTTGGCGCGAGAGGAGAGAAAAAAAGGCGTTCGTGTATATATTCACGGGACAGTGTCGACGAGAACGGCGTCGTGTGAGGAAAGTGCCACGCGGCGAGAGAGAACAGTAACGAATAGCGCGACAGCGAAAACTGATCTTCGGCCGGTATCGCGACCTCTCGTGTGTACCCTATCTCCGTCTCCATTCGATCTGTCTATCTCGCTTTAACCCGTATCTACCACCCCCAGCAGAGCATGCTATTCCTCGTGGTACAGCAATAATATCGTTTCCCGCGCGCACTGCGGATTGGCTGGTGCAGCGGCAAACGACGACGCCGGCAAACCGACACGCGTTCCGTTTTGCTAGCGCCGGCAACGAGAGAGAAAGACAGCGGAGATATAGGAGAGAGAGAGCGGCGGCGGCGCTCTTTGCTTCAACGGAGGGCAGCGTGTACGCTGCGGAGGAGAAGGGGCAAGAGCGGGATGAGAGAGGGGGCGCGGAGGTGTAGCCACCCGAGCGACCGACCGACCGAGTTGTTTCATTCATAAAAAAGTTCTTTATTACTCTCTGTGAGCGCATGTGCTATTCCACGGAGGAGGACCGACTACTCCCCCGACCGGCGGCGGCAACGTAACCACGTTTACACACGGCATTATTTACTACTGCGCGAGATACGAATCGGCGCCACACGCCGCGCCAACGTTGCGGCGTACGGATCTCTCTCTCTCTCTCTTTTTCTCCGACGACGACGACGACGGCGTCGTCGTCGTGTCATCGTATCCGGATGAGAGCCTTCTTATCGTCTCTCTCTCTTTTTCTCTCCATTCGCCGAATTGCCTTTCGCGGAAGGTTCGCGATTTCGCGCGTTACGGACGCGTCTTCGTTTCTCCCTCTATCTCTCTATAGCGTAGCTACAATTGAAATTCCTCGCGTGTTTGCAGGCAGACGAGATCGGTAGTGTGGTAGTCGGTCGGTCGATAACGCGATTTAGAACGTGAAACGTTAATCGATCGACGCGAATCACCCGTCCGGGAGGAGGGCTTACCGAGAGGGAAAGAGGACTTCGAGGGAAAATCCGTTCAAGCTGGATCTCAGGAAGATTTCCCTTCTCACTGCGACCGCAGTCGACCATCGCGAGCGCAGCAGATCGCGAACACGCGACCGCCGTGTGATGAGCGACTCGATGCACATCGACGAGAATATCGGCAGCAGTCAGCCGATCGACAACGCTCGCGAGATCATCGGAGAAGGGAATCGCACAGCTCTGCAGGTCCAGATGGCGGCTAGGAACAACGGGCAATCGCGACCAGGGAAGCGACCGATCAAGAATGTCTCGCCGGCGGACAAAGTGGGCGCTATCGACCGCGTCCACGAGGGTGAGAGCAAGGCCTCCGTTGCCAGGGACATCGGAGTCCCGGAGTCCACGTTGCGCGGCTGGTGCAAGTCGGAACAAAAGATCCGCAGCCAGTGCAACAACGCGTCCGCGGAGATGATGGCGCGACATTCCCCGGTCAGCATCGCCACCGGACGCTCCATGTCGGCGAGTGGCCGTCAATCGGTCGGCAGCCGGCATTCCAGCAACAGCCGGCAGTCAGCTACACCGCCGAGCGACGACGGTCCGTCGTCGAAGAGAGTGAAAATGGAGCGCCGACAGAACAACAGTCCTCAGACCGTAATGGCAGGTCCGTCCACCAGTTCGGCGGCCACCAGCTATATGGCCCGCGCGGACCGAGGGATGTTGAATCCCTCGAATCAAGCCCTGTCGGAGCTGTTCGTCACGGCGATGTCGTCCGCCGGACATTCGGCCTCGGTTTTGCAGCAACTGCTGGGACCGGCGTTCGCGAGTGAGCTGATGCTGGGTCAGACGGCGGCGAGCCAGCGCGGCAGCGCCGTTGGTCTCGTTGAGAACGGTCTGCAGTACGCCAGGAGCCACCACACCGCAACATTCCCCGCGATAGTTGGTAGCAGCGCGGCCACCACGGTGGGCAATATCATCGGCAACGCTTTGGGGAACGCGCTGGACCATACCAGCGGCAGGAACATCGCGGTTGCGCCCACCCAGGTTACATCCGGCTCGTACACGCGAAAATCACCGAGCGTCACACCTGCGGCGGAGGCGCCCACGACACCGGCACCGGCGTCTCCGCACGAGAACAACGCTCAACCCACCACCACGTGTAGGACGGGAGGCACCACCACCACTGCTGTCGGCAGCCCGTCCATCCGGAGGGAGGCGATGCAGACCTGGTTCACACAACAGTTCCGGTCGAGCGACAATAATCTCGACGCTGCCAACAATCTCGCCAACCCGTATGACTCCCGCAAGGCCTTGTTCTGGCAATGGATGAAGTACTGCAACCTCCCACTGAAAGATAGTCCCGAACAGTCAATTAGTGTGCTGGATTATTTGTTCCGCAACAATGAATCCGCCGGCAGTACCAGTGATGACAATAGCGAGGTGAGAGCTCGCTGCCACAGTGTCACGAGCGAGAGATCGGAGCGCGAAGACTCGGCTGAGAGGGTGACGCCTGTCGTGGGGCCGACGTTCTCGCCGAGGATGATGGAGGCACTGCGAGCCGCCAAGATGAGTCCCAGCAACGCCGAAATCGAGAAGGCGGTCGAGTACGGCATTTGGCTGCAGAGGTGGTTGGATAACTGTTCGATACCTCTGCTGACCAGAAAATACGTCTTGCAGTACAAATACATCGTGGATGTGCTCAAGTGGGTCAAGAATTCATCGACGCAGGCGGAAGTGGTGCCGGAAAGTTACAAGGCATCAGAGGGACCACACGACAAAGGGACACAACTATGATGCCGGAAAATGTCGCCTTTCATCATCCGCCGGTTGTATCGTAAACATTGAAAGAGTGCGTCCGACCAAGTGCAAAGTCTCCCGGTGAAAGAAAGACTTTTGTTATATACTGTCAATGTATATATACGATAATGTACATAACAAAGCGAAGTCGCTAAATTTGCTTATTATGTCTATGTAACAAAAGACTACGATATCATTGTTTAGCGTATATCGCGAGGTATATAATGTGCGTAGCTGTTATTTATCAACGAATATCCTCATTTGCTGCTGTAGATAGAAACATTGATTAGGAATGAAAAAAGGAGAGACGTGGACTCACACCGCGATAGATTTAACGAATAAATCCACTCTGCTCTTTTCTTCTTTTACGCTTTTTTCTTATTCACACGCGCTATGGCGTACGCTGACAAAATAATATTTCTTATACAATATTTGTATAATTCTGTGTATATAAAAATGTATAAAATCGTGCTAACTGTATATAATCACTTGTTCACAATTATATTGTACAAATGATGTATTGAAAAATGTGTATATATTATTCAATTATTTCGTTAGCCCAAGTCGTGTAGCGTATATATAAAGAAGCAGAGATAGGCAAAGTTTACGGAAGAGAGCGGAGCGACACGCTTCCTCATTCATCCATTTCTCTCCCTTTTTCTTTTCCATCTTCGGTTTCGTCGATCGCGGCGAAACGGAAGCACGATGTACGGCGGATGTTGCACATCCGCATTTTCCTGACGATTACTACCTCCATCTTCCGTTGAACAGTTCCGTTAATATATAAGTAGAGCAAATATATGTACACACACACACACACACACACATCATACCTACTACATAATTTACACGTGGTAAGAGAATGGGCCAAATTCGCCGAGATCCGTTGGCTGAGCCAGCAGGAGTCTTATGGAATAAAGTCCAGCACGACTCTCGAAAGGGCTCCGCGCACGATTGCTCGGCGGTTGTGTGTATCAGTTTGGATAAGAAAGGGCGCGTTTACTTGCTATGAGAAATCTTACCATCTAACAGGACCTCGTAGCTAATGTAATCGCTGGTGAAGCTTGCGCATCCTCGCCACGTGTTGTACAGTTCAGGATAATGCGGCGTCGTACATCGTCTAATAGTTGTAGATACAAATTTCCGTACAAAATAAACGTTTTTTTGTTTCCTCCAATATTTGCGCAGGAAAGGCATGGTTGGTGTTCCATTAGTTCCACTTTATATGTGCGTGTGTGTCTATATATATATATATACACACACGTATATATATATGGTGCACAGAGATAATTATTTTATCTCTCCTTGCGCTAAATTTTAATTTCCCCTTTTGTATGAAATGTAAAGACGGCAATTCGACTTCGCGAATTGGATATCGTGATAAACTCAGACTCTAGTCTATATACACTAATAGCGAGTGTGTGTTGCACGAGGTGAAAGAAATAATCGCCACGTAGACATGTACACGCGATATTAGTACAGGGCGCCGTATTATCCGTCTAAATCATTACTTAGAGGCATCTTGAAGAAGTGAGAGATGACGGGAATTGCGTTACGCACGATGATGATCATCATTGCCGTGGTCAATGACTGTTTTCGAAATACGGTCGCCAAATCACCATTCACCGTGTACACTGTTTCGTATCGCTACAAGGGAGGGGGGAGATATATACGTATGAAAAGTTTGCGAATAGAGAAGCTGTCGCGTCTCTATTTAGTAGTAATTTCTCCCATTTCATTCGCTACTCGTACTTTTCTTGACGACGATGTAATGCAAAAGTGCATTCGTTTATTATAATTTGTAGACACGCGCACAGCTTCCGTCATACGATCATGCGCTTGTAATATAAAAGGAAGAAAATAAAGAGGAGAGAGAGAGAAAGAGCGAGAGAGAGAGAGAGAGAGAGAGAGAGAGAGAGAGAGAGAGAATGTGTTATAAAGAAGTGATATTTCTAAGAAGCAAGCCAAAGCTAAACAACTGTGCTGTGACCGCGGCATCCGAGTGTAAATAAGACTGTTAGTTTAACTATTTCAAGTATGATAATGTATAGCTTGCATATATAAAGAAACGTATAGCGAGGTTTATTTTTATTATTTTTAGACAACATAGACTAAACGAAAGAAATGATAATTAGACTGACTTGTATTATGCGAAAATTAATTACCATCAGTTAAAACAGTGAAAGAAAGAAAAATCTTCCGATCACCACATTCCGCTATACGTTTACGCATTAATTATATATTCAAAATTTTTAAATCAGATTTAGGCGTTTTTATTCGAAACATATTTTAGTTTTTATAATGAAGTATCTTTATACCCCACGAAGTCGACAGTCGCGAAAGTATATTTATTAAGAGAACACTAATCCGGTCTCTTAAGCGAAAATTTATGGAAAGAATACAAAAAAATAAAAGAAAATTAAACAATCGTCGTATTGTACGATTCATTCCTCCTTCACCACCGATGTGTATATCCCTCGTCGAACTAGCTTCGGAAGCAACAACGAATTAACGCTCCGCGCGTTTCAACCTTAAACTAACGAGATCCAAACTAAATTCGGTAATCAAGTCCGTAAGGAAGGAGCCGGAGTATTGCGAGCATCCATCACATCAAACCGATCATTTCCATAGATTCTCACTCGTCTGATATTTCATTCATACTACATATAGTGGACGTAATCTTTCCGCGCATATTTGTATTTCGAATCGAGTGAAAGTGATTTGTCCGCACAAGACAAATATTAACGGGCTCTTTCTTTAATCCTGTACAGCACTTCGAAGCTGAACGATTGCTGAGGACGAAATGGACTTTGGGCTGTAGTAAGTCGACCGGCGAGAGAAATAGCTTTACACTAAAAAGCAGCGGAACAATCGAAATCTTGCCTACAGTCGTTAAGTGAAGCCGTTAAAAGTTAAAAGACTACGTGAAAAAAAATCTTGAATACAAACGCAACTGTTGCTCGTCGAGAGTACAAGCTCGAGGAGAAATTCGCATATATATGATGTCCCGGACTTCACGACTTTAATTTTACAGAGAGGTTCACTGTGCGAAAAATTTAGAATTCATTCAATTTTCTCGGTGCAAATGTCGAGGTATCGATACATATTTTCAAGATACAAGAATAAACGGTATTGTTTTTTTTTCTTTTTGCAAAACTTACGACGATCACACGAATAACAGAATTATTCTCTTCAAGTGGACTTTAGTTACAAAGATATTGTGTTGAAAATTGGAAAGCCGCTACGAATAATGACCTCCCATAACATTTTCAATTAGGAAAAATTCTTCCCAAATTATAGATAAAATTAAGATCGCGACATCTGGGACATATTTTATATACATACACAAACGATTCAAAATTTCCTTTGGGACTGGATGAAATTCACAAGTCGGGTAGGACATTTTTTCAACACACTCTATCACAGATATCGACTATCATAGACTGAGAAAAACCAAAATATGCTCAAGCAAAAAGGATGATATATACGTAATACAGTATATATGTACATAAAACTATATATAGTTACATGTAAATAATTATATAAGATTAATATATAAATTTCGTCTTTATATGGTCGCATATATAAAATCATATGCAATTTTATATATCTCTAGGAGAAGAAACTGTTGAATGAAGGAGAGAAAGTTTATTCAATTGAACATCACAGCATCACAAGCTGCCACAAATATTAACAGATTTGTACAACAGCATTTCCTGCCATATGGACAATTACATGTGGCTATACATGGCTATTCAGAGACAAAATTCTTATCTAATTACATATAATTATCTTTCCCCATACAATCCATAATGTGTTAATAAATGGTTGCAGTGAGGCCGTATGAAATAATGAAATTATCTAAAGTTTACTAACTTGCACGCCACACTCGTTCTCGCATGCCAGCAGCAACGGCCACGTGCCTCGCGTGAAACTGTCGACGAAAGTTTTCCGCGTAACACAGCAACAATCGCTCCTTGTCGCTGACGCATCGGTAAGCGTCTTCCATCGCCGACACTACGTTTCGGCCAACGTAGCTTGTTCAGGCACAATTCGCGCTGCACTTGCCGCAGCGTCTCTTCTGTCATGCGTGACGATGCGTCGTCGTATTCCGCGTTGTCGTCTCGCCACCATGTCGTTCGCGGTTCCTTCTCGATTCTTCATATGCGACGTCGTTCACCGTAGCATTTAGAGAAACGGATATCCGGTCGACGGACTTACGGATTTAATCGATTCGAATTCGCCGAATAACGATGCAAATAACCCGCCGTCGCTAAGCAACGAGAATGTCGCAGTATCACGCTATGACAGCCAGGTGGCGGCACGTGATCGTGATTTCGTTATCGTCGATATCGACATTTCGGCCGGTTGAATAGAATCCCAAAGTCGGATGATGATCGAGCAATAGTTGTTTGTTCCTCGAATTATAGCTTGATGTATCAAATTGATTGATCGAATTATAACTCGATCGTGCTGTTCTCGCGCTTGAATCTCTCGTCTGGACCTCAATACCGACAGGAATGACATATCGACATGAGGTAATATTAGATATTCCTGATTCATCATTCGGTTTTGTGATTATCCACACCGACACGAAGAGTGAAGACAAAATTAGCAATTTTTTCTTTGTAAAAATAAAAAAAAATCGTAATAAATTTTACTGTCTTATAATCACCTGTCGATAAACTGTGCGCCAATTTAATGATGATAATTGTTGTAAGCAGTTTCACAAAAATATCTGGTATATTTTACTGTAGGCCATAAAAAAAAACGGTCATCGCAAATTATAATATTAATACTTATTCTACTCTGATCCAGACATTTTTATCGGGTAACTAAAAATAGTCGAAAATATCATCAGTTTTCAATGAGTTTCAAACCCCTACGAACTTCTTTTCTGTTCACAAAAATTTGTCCCAGGCTAATAGTAGTATTTGACAGTATCTTGTCAGTTCTATAAAAAACCACCAGTCCTGAATAAATTTTCGTGATCGCTAGAAAGGGCTTAGAAAAATCCGAATATAATTGGAAAAAGTTAATGCTATCGGCCTCTTTGTCAAATGATATAAATATTTGGACGCATCCATAGTATATAATGTTGATTAAATAATTTATCTCTATGTTAAATCTATATATATATATGTATAACAAACTTACAATATGAAGTGTATTAGAAAAGTTTGTGAGACCGAATTTCTATAGTTGTATCGTTTACGCTATTTGACGTAAAATTTACCGGCAAGAGGTTATTGAACAGCAAAATTTTTCGTATACGCTAAATCCCGCAAGGTTGACGATCTTTATTTTCACTTCATCAGTGAAATAAACTAAAAACCGTAAATAAAACCGGATATTAACCCGATATAAATGATAACTGTATGCAACTTTACGGAGAAATACGTAATATCATTGTGCAATAATATATGTTTATGTATGTCCACGAAAGTCAAGTAATAATAAATCATAAATATCGCGTTACAATTGTCGTCATTATGGGAAAAAATATCAACATTCACTTTAATCTTGACAGCCGCAAGAATTTTACCATACTATCGTTCTTTGATATCTTGTCAGTCTCACGGTCGGCATTGTTTATATCCATGGGGGATAAGTGGATATTCAATCATCACCGACCGCTGCAACACACATTTGATATTTTATTTTCCTAACCTATTATTTCATTATTCGTTCAGTGCGATATAACAATAGATCATATAAATATAATTATATAATTTTGCATATACGCGATGATTTATTTAACAAAATCGTAGTTTGATTACTTATCGGCTAAGTAGACGATTTACATACCGGCCGGCTCTGTTTATCAGTAACGGTACAATAAAACTCCCGCCCAGTGCATATGTAGTTTTTTTTTTTAGATTTGAAAGATATCCCTGCTTAATCTTCGACTCGATTTGTTTTTTTCGAAAAAATAAACAAAAACCCATGGATGTTGCGATGTCTCTCTCCTTGTGAGTACAGCGTATGCGTTTATCATCATTTAATATACGTCATTGTATAAAACCTGTGGCTATTTCATAAATTCGTCATCGAAATTTGAAAGCTCGTTACCATCTCCTTTATACATTCGGTCTCGCCGAGTGTCCGCTATCAATCGTCCTATAAATTCGAAACCTCTTCGATTTTCTCAGATCAATTTCTTCCTCTGTCGTAGACGTTAAGCGCGCTAAGTTCGCGCGTGCGAACGTCGAAAATCCACTTAAAACGACATCATTATCCTCGGCGCTCGTACAGATTGGAGAAATCGATTGTAAGAGTTGGTAATTTCCGAGTTTCTTCTCTTCACAATTTTGACCATATATTAACAATTTATGATTCGTTTTTCGTCGGTACTCCAATTTCTACGAAGAGAAAAAAGAAATGTGAATACATCGAATAAAAAAAAAGGGGGGGGGAGGCATATTTACACAATATAAGATACATCGATCTGTTTTGCAGCTTCGTCTATACGACAATTCCTGCGACTACAATGCGAGGATCTTAATATAAAACGTAAGGAAAGAAGGAAAAAGAAAACAAAATGATACCTTGCATTCTTCGAGTCTTCGACGGTTGCAGCATAGAGAAATGATCAGGATGGTTGTTCCACTTATGCTTATGTTTATTTATTAATTGTTTCGACGGAAGTCATCAAACTTGAAAATTTAATAAAAATATTCACAGTGAGCATTCTTTCTCTCTGTCTCCCGTACGTACTAGTCCATTCTCGCAGACTCTCATTCACTCGTTTTCTCTGTTTCTCGCTTGCTTTTATCCCTCTTTCACTCCTCTCTTTCTCTCTTTCCCTTACATTCGCTTCATTCTGCTACATTCATCTGTTGCCCGCACGGCCATTAACATTCGTGAGCTGATGCGCATGTTGGGCCAAAATTTTTTCCTTTTTTCTTTTTTTCTTTTTTTTTATCATCGTTCAAGTCGTGCCCATCGCTTGTTTAGGGGTGAGTAGATGAGTGTATGTATGTACGCACCTATGTGTTGTATATGCGTTCTGTCTGTTTATGTTGTGTATGTATGTGTCGTACGCCCGTGTTCCATGCTACTTGATTATGTGTATGGTATGACTGCGTGTGGTATGATGTATATGTACATTCAATTATTAATAATTATTATTAATAACAACAATAATTAGTACGAATAGAAAATCATGTTTCCATGTTTAATGACTACGATCCGAACATTAATTCTCTCCGGAGCACTTACGTCCTACGTTCATACGCAACGAAGTGTAGCCATTCGATGACGTTTTCTGTTCTCTCTCTCTCTCTCTCT